ATGATCCTTAATATCCTCTTTGAATTGTCTATAGATTCATTATATTGATTAATCAAATGAATCAATTATTTATAAATTAATTTTGTAATTGTCTGTTTTAGGAAAGTCTTTTCAATAGAAATATAGTTTTAAGTATCTTAACAGCCACATGTAAAAATGTAAAAATAAAAAGTAAAATTACATTATCAATAATATGTTTTATTTAACCTGGTATATTTTAAACTTTTAAAAAATATAGTTTTATTAAATATATATATAAAATTTGGTGATTTCAGAGAGGAAGGGAGAGGGAGAAAGAGACAGAAACATCAATGATGAGAGAGAATCATTGATTGGCTGGCTTCTGCACGCCCCCTACTGGGGATCTAGCCTGCAACCAGGGCATGTGACCTAACTTGGAATCAAACCATGACCCCCTGGTGCATAGGTATACAGTCAACCACTGAGCAACATCAGCCGGCCTAATCTAATACATTTAAAATATCATGTTAACATATAATCCATATAAAAATAATATTTTACATTCCTTTTTATACGAAGTTTATAAAATCAGAATGCATTTCACAATTATAGGACATCTCATCCCAATTCAATTAAAAAAGTAGTTCCTCATTTGCATTGGCCATATTTGAAGAGCTTGATAGTTACGTCTAACTAGTAGATACCGTACTGCTGTTGTAATTACAGGATATCTGAGGTTTATTGAATCATCTTCCAGATTATGTAAATCCAAAACGACATTGCCTTTCAGGCTTTTGGCATTTGTCTTCTATTTCACAATATCTTGGTTAGTAAGCTTTCTTGAAATTCTAGGACGTAATTTGTCCTCATCGGCAGACTTGAACGCATTTGCAATAATTACATCATCCCTGTTTATACTTCACATTCCTAACTTAGATTTTGCTAATTTCTGGACAGCTTCCTCATCAAGAAGAGGAGCAATAATGTGGGTTCGAAAGATAGTCCTAGACTTGAACCCCACTCTGCCACTAACTAGTTAGGTAAACCTAGGCTCATTATTCTACTTCTCTGGGTTTCAGCTTCTTCACCTATAAACAGCAACATAGATAGGACTTACCTTTTCTCATTGTTGTGACGAAAACATAAGATCATGAAGGGTAAGTGTGTCACGCACTGTACCTGCTCACTGAACAGCTGTTATCACTAAGGTGGATGGCAGGGAATCAGTCAAAGAAAAAGAGAAAGTTTGCGTTCCCTTTGTCATCCATCATCTCCTACTGGCTGGACCATGAGTTCCTTGTTCCTTCTGTTCTGACCTACCCAGGAAACACCTTCAACCTCTATTAGAGATATTTAGTGTATGACCTCCTATATTCCGCTTCCTCAGATGAGTCATGATTCACCCAAGTCTCTTTACTGATCCCAACTTCTCAAAAATAGACAAACCCCTTTTTCTTCCCCGAGGCTCACCTTGTCAGGGAGTGCAGCCTGTATATCTCCCAAGCTCATACCCAGGACCGCGGCCAGACCTTCATTCAGATCCCAGGAACCGTCTGCCTTTTGGAGGGAAATCAGCTGTACCAGAGGATCATCTTCAAAGATTTTGGGGGAGAAAAAAGAAAGAAGAAAGAAGATGAGAAACTAGGAAGTTTAATTTGGCCCCTTGGCATACGTCAGGGAGGGAGTCTGAATCCAGAGAAAGGCTATAGCAGTGATGGCGAACCTTTTGAGCTCGGCGTGTCAGCATTTTGAAAAACCCTAACTTAACTCTGGTGCCGGGTCACATATAGATACTTTTTGATATTTGCAACCATAGTAAAACAAAGACATATTTTTGATATTTATTTTATATATTTAAATCCCATATAACAAAGAAAAATCAACCCAAAAAATGAGATCACGTGTCATAGGATCGCCATCACTGGGCTATAGCAAGAGTGCAGATCCTAGTACTTCTCCATCTCAGTCCTCACCCAGGAGACATGTGTTTTCTCTGTGACAATGTAGGCCACCTGTGTTGTGCTGCCACTAGGAGAGATGCACTTAAAAATTCAGAAAGGAGAGGAATATATAGGGCACTAAAGAACTCACATGATAGTGCTATTTAAAATCCTATCCAGTCCTGTGGCAATGACCCTTAAAACATTAGGTATATTAAAAAATTACAGATAACCCTAGCCAGTGTGGTTCAGTGGATAGAGCGTCATCCTGCAGACGGAAAGGTCCCAGGTTCGTTTCTGATCGAGGGCATGTACCTCGGTTGCAGGCTTCTCCCCGGCCTGGGCCCTGGTCAGGGCATGTGCAGGAGGCAACCAATCGATGTGTTTCTCTCATACCAAAATTTCTCTCTGTCTTTCCCTTTCTCTTCCACTCTCTCTAAAAATCAGTGGGAAAATATCCTTGGGTGAGGGTTAAAAAACAAACATCTAGATAAATATAGCTTGAATTTTAATGATCAAAAATGTCCAAAGAGAGCAGACATAAATAAAGGAAGCAGTTAGCAGTCTAGCCTTGGCTGGTGTGTCTCAATTGGATGAGCATTGTCCCATGCACTGGGAGATCATGGGTTCGATTCCCAGTCCGGGCACATGATCGATGTTTCTCTCTCTCCCTCTCCCTTCCTCTCTCTCTAAGATTCAGTAAAAACATGTTTAAAACGTAGTGCAGTGTCCAATCCTGATGGTGTAAAAGCTGCCTGAAGACCACAGAATTGTCATAGAAAGCATCTCACATCTGGATAGCTATCCTATGGGATGATATACTCCGTGCAACTTAGAAATTAGTAGGCAAGAAAAACAGTTCTACTCTAATGGGAAAAACAACAACTAAGGTTCTGAATATCAAAAGCCTACGTTTGAATCTCAGGTCTGCCTGCACTCAAAATCTAATACAGTGGGGCCTTGACTTACGAGCGTCCTGACTAATGAGTTTTTTTTGAGATAGGAGCCATCTGTCAGCCAATTTTTTGCTTTGAGTTGCAAACTCAAAAAAATTCAGGTTACGAGCCAGCTTCAGATACCCCACCGCTAGTTGGTGTAGCGAATATCACAGTGATTTGACATACGAGTAATTTGAGTTATGTGCTCCGTCACGGAACGAATTAAACTCGTAAGTCAAGGCCCCACGGTAGTTACTTAAACCACAGAAATCGCAGCTTTGTCTAAACGGGAGACAGTAATGCCTGATGCATGAGGAAAAACATCCAGGACTCAGAAGGCGCTTAAATGGCTCCCAGCAAATAGTAGTTGCTGGGAACTTCTCTCTACATTAGTAAGAGGCTCCATGAGAGAGGAAGCTCATTATAGTGGGGATATTGCTAGTCACTGGGTTTTAGGACAGCGCAGGAAACCCACACTACAGGACAGTGAGAACCTACTCCGTGGATAACATGAAGTTCTCATGAGGAGGTGCATGATAGTGCAGCAGAGGAAGCTAAGGCTCTAAAAAGTTACCTTGCCCGGCCTGTGTGGCTCAGTGGTTGAGCATCGACATATGAACCATGAGGTCACAGTTCAATTTCCTGTCAGGGCACAGGCCTGGGGTTGAGAGCTCGATCCCCAGTAAGGGGTGTGCGGGAGGCAGCCGATCCATGATCCTCTCTCATCATGGATGTTTCTATCTCTCCCTCTCCCTTCCTCTCTGAAATCAATAAAAATATTTCTAAAAACTGAAACAAGTAAAAAGTTAATGACGGATCTTACAACCCCACAGTAACTGGTAGTCAACAAGAGACCTGAATCTACCTTAGACCTAGAAGCCATTTCTGTATTAGCAGCCTAAGAAGAATGCATAAAGAGAGAGTAAGTGGCAAAGGTGTTGGAATGATGAAAGGATTGTACACCATAAACCCTGCTGCAAAACGGGAAGAGGCTAGACAGAAGTTGCCTTTAAGCCTATTTTAGGTAACAGGTACCTTGACTACCCATCTGTTTGGGACACGAGGCAATGAAATGACCAAGGAACAGCTTGTAGTGACAGAAAGTCATGAGAAAGCATTAAAAAGGTCGGTCTTTGCCCTAACTGGTTTGGCTCAGTGGATGGAGCGTGGGCCTGCGGACTGAAGGGTCCCAGGTTCGATTCCCGTCAAGGGCATGTACCTTGGTTGTGGGCACATCCCCACTAGGAGGTGTGCAAGAGGCAACTGATCGATGTTCCTTTCTCATCGATGTTTCTAACTCTCCTGGCCCTGACAAAAAGACTGGGACATTTTATCCTCTGTCCTGACGCTTCTCCAACCGATCACGTCCTGGTAGAGAACGCCACAAGACAGCAGAACACGGAGGATGAGCTCCTCAGTTCCCATAGATTAGGAGAGAGAACTGAGGGTCGTCTCACCTGTATGGTTAGTTTCCAAGTCGGTCATGTCGATGGAAGAACCTTCCCATGACATTTCATCGAAAGCAAAAAAATCAGCATACTCCTCCATGTGAGGCTGGTATTTCACTGATAAAGGAGTACCACTCCTCAGTCCTCTGACTGATTCTATAAGTGTGACAGACAAGCCGTGGTGAGAAAATATCCCTGGGAAGATGCTCACCTAGAGAATGCAAACTCTTGTTAATTGTGGAGCTATGGGAATCTTAACCATTCTTCGGGTATGACATGCTACTGTATGAGTTGGGCAGAGATGCAGAAGGATAGTAGGAGAATAGGGCTTTGTACGAGCTGAAAAACAATATAGCCATTGACACTGAGGCACCCTATGCTCCCTGCTGTAGGCAAAGGGCCTGATAATTTGAGACATATGCTCCTATCCGTGTCAGCCTCAGTCATCATCTTTACTGTGCATTTTTTTCTTCTCCCAGGAGCCAAATCCTGCAGCCTCCATGCCCTTCCAACGGTGTCCTGCTGACATGTGACCATGATCTTCTCTGCATCTTTAGTTTCATTACCGGAGGCTTCCTTCAACTACTCATCTCAACTTAAAACTAATTTTTCCTCCTAGAAATCTTTTCTCCCTCTATCCTTCTCATATAGTGGCTAGGTACCAGAACCCAAGCACCTATGTTTGAGAGGTGAGGTAGGTGGAGTTGGCAACCTCTTCAGTCCCAAGGCCACACGCATAGCATGACTCTTCACCTTCACCTGGATTACCTTCCAGGTGCTGTCAACCTCCAAATTCTTTGTCCCTTTTCAACATCCACTGAAGTATCTGAAAACTAGATCGAAGACTTTCACTTCCTTGCAAAGCCTGCCATCATCTTTAGAGATTAAGCACCCATGTACATAACCTATACAACCCCCTAATTCAAGCTTCTTGTCTTCCTCAAATCAAATAAATGGCTTCACCCTCCACTCTACTCCGGCCATTCCCTCCCAAGCCAAGATATCTGGTTATCAAGCAGAATTGTCCCACCTGTAAAGAAATAATTGAAAAAATATATATACTTTAAAAATACAATATCCAGAAATTCCAAACAAGATGGTGGTATAAATAAATGCAGTATCCTTGCCTCCTCCCACAACCACATCAAAATTACAACTAAACTACAGACAACCATCTTTCAGAACTGCCTGAAATCAAGCTCAGTGGGAGTCCTAGAACTATGGAATTAAAGAAGCAGCCACATTCAGACTGGTAGGAGGGACTGGTGCCACACCCATGTGGGGCAGAAAAAACTAGGGGGGATGTCTCCGGAATACAGGTACCTCCTGAGGAGCCAGGGGTCCCAGGCCCACACCAAGTCCCCAGCCCAGGGTCCCAGTGGTGGGAAGAAAAGTCCCCATACTTCTGGTTATAAAAAACAGTGAGGGATGAGGCTGAGGGAGACAGAGGCTGCAGGAGTCCCTAGCATTTCCTCCTAAAGAGTCCACAAATGGACTAACTCGGACTCACTCCTCCAGAGCTCCAGCATGGAGCAGCTACCTGAAAGGCTCCTGAGGCATACAGGCAGGAACTGAATGGTCTGGCATCATAGCAAGAGCTGGATGGGCAGCGTTCTTCCAGACAGAAGTACTGGTAGAGGCCATTGTTCCTTTGCTGAACCCTCCCCCAAAGAGCCAGCAGGTGGCCACCATATCTGAGTATCCATCAACCTGGAATAACACTGTTAGCCCCACCCTGGTGATTCCCGGAGGCCCTGTCCACACCAGCTGTTTCTAGTGGCTTTACCATCAGAATGGCCTGTCTTTGCTCATGCTTCATATTTTACTAAAATCTCTCAAATAAGCAGCATCTGGCCTAGTACCTGTTGCCAAGTGACCCTGGGACTGGCACTAGCCACAGCCAGCCTTGGTTTGTAGCTTGGCTTCTCCTAGGCACCTCCAAGCTCATCACAAGTAGCAGCCATCAGCAGATCATTTTGTAGCTCATGCTGGGTGGCCCTGGGGCAGAACAAAGGCAGTGGCTGACCTTGGTCTGAATCTCCCAGGAGTCCCCAGAGGCAGTGCACCCAGTGGACAGCTTCAGACCATGTCAAAGCATCACCACTCCACCACCTTCACAAGTGACGCACTCATGGGGTGGACTCAACAGGTACCAGAGCCCCGTTGAAGCAAATCCTGTTCTGTGAGGTGGGTCGCTGCATAGCTGATCCTCCATGGTGATCTCAGTCAGACCTTGCAGCTGATCGACCCCTAAACATTCCTTGACAAAAGCTCTATGTCTTCCTGAGCATTTCTCTCCACAGTTTTGGTTTACATCTGAGACAGCCCTGCACTCAGCACCCATTTCCTAACACTATCAGGTTGTTTGCCCGCTATCTGTGTAGTCATTAACCAGTGTCAATAGGATACATCAGCTTCAGGTTTAGGCAGTGTAACTACTCACTGCTTACATGCACTTTCTCTTTCATTTCCCTCATTTTCCCCCCTTTGGAGTACTTTACATTTTCTTGCTAATGGTGTAATTTCTAGTTTTCAAGGACAGAAATGTTTTACAACAGCCCGAGATTCCAGATATGGAGAGAAAAGGGGGATAGGGAGAAAAGGACTTTTCATAAACATTTGCTTTAAATGATGTATCCAGGTATACAGGGCCCCATATTTTATGTGAGTTCGGTTAGAATAAAACTCAGCACCTCCACAGTCCCATAATTTCGAACCTGAAGCATCAGTCCGGAAAGCACATATAGGAGACATCAGATCCCCATCATAATCCTGAATAGAAAATAGCATTGGACATGGAACGTCCCTGCGAGTCAGGGGTCCCTGAAGCTCAGAGCCCTGACAGGCTGGGGATGGTGCAGGGAGGAACATAAGATCGGGGGGAGATGAAATCTGAGTGGCCGGAAAAGGAAAAGTGATTTTAGGGAAATCATTGACCCAAAATGAAGAGCAGGAAACTGACCCCCTAAGATGGCAGAGACGAGAAGAAAGGGAAGGGGAGGGAAGGGGAAGGAAGGGAAGGAGAGGAAAGAAAGGAAAGGAGAGGGGAGAAGAGGGGAGGGAAAGGAGAAAGAAAAGAAAGGAACTAGGAAAGAAATATGGAAATCTTACTTGGCATCCGACTTGGGCTGTAGAGAAAATGCCACTTGATTCTCAAACTGCGTGCCCTGGAGGGTGTACTTGAGGCAAACTTTCCCTGTTGCCTCTGCTGGCTAAAAAGTAGAGAAGAGGAGACAGGATGGGAGGGAGAGATCACCCAAGGAGAGATGCAGAATCGGGGCAGCTCCCCAACCCACACATTCAAAGTTTCTGGCTAGAAACCCAGGTAGTTCAGAAAACCAGAGGCTGGACGTGATGGCGAGGGGAGGGAGGCTGACCCTGTCGGGCAAGCGTCCGGGGCAGAGCTCGGGGCAGCGGCGACTCTGGCTAGAGAAACAAGCAAGAACGAATCTCACCGGCATCGTCCCTGTCAACTGGGCATAGACGATCAACCTCTGACCCCGGAAGATGACAGTTGGTTCTGGGGAAAGCATTTTAGCGGACAGACCCGCAGGCAAATCCCAGCTCAGAGAAACACCCTCTACCACAGGCTGCAGAGAGCGCTTCAGGGCCCTGAGAGCCTGGCGGAGGGAAGAGAACAGAATAAGCACCACAAGTACATACTGGCCACCATACCTACCACTACCTGAGTGTTCCTCATGCCCCAGGAGCTATGCAGCCCAACCCATGGTAGACCTTCTCCCTCGTACTCCACTAGGAGATGGGTGTTCTTTTGCTTTACACACGAGGAAGCTAAGGCAGAGACACATAATGAAGGTGTATAAAGTAACAGAGAAGTAGGCATTAGATTAGAAATGGCACCAACTGGGGAAGAGGAACGCAGCACTATAACCAGAGGTGGAGGAGGCCTCCTTGTGCTAACAGAAAAACACATTGATTAGTTCCCTCCTGCACATGCCGTAACCAGGGCCCAGGCCAGGGAGGAACCAGCATCCGATGTACGTGTCCTTGACCAGAATTACACCTGGGATCCTTTGGTCTGCAGGCCGATGCTCTATCCACTGAACCAAACAGGCCAGGGCCATCCTGCTTGTGTTCTTTGTGTCATTTGCATGGAGGAGAGACTTACAGGACCCGCCAGGTCCTAAAGCTCACAACTAGGAATGCCAAGCTCAGCAGGCAAAATTCTTGTTTCTCTCTTTCTTGTTTTCAACACAAAGCCCTGACCTCTTCCAGCATTTTGTTGCTGGGCTTCCAACTGCTGGGACTAGATGCCATTTCCCCAGAAACTACAGGGGCCCCGTTCACATAAAGACAAAAGTAGTCCCATTGAGTCTGTAGCCCAAAGCCCTGGGAATACAAAGAAATGAATCCTAGAGGCAATAGGTTGCCTCAGCTCTTGCAGCAGGGTGCCCCCTGCCCCCACTCCCTCTGGACATCCCCCTGGACATAGGCCTGCTCCTCACCTTCGACTGTATCCTCTCATTGCCTGTGATAAATTCTGCCGCGCCCCCTGATGCCCGGGCAATGCCTTTTATGAGGCTGGTGGAGGCTCCTTCGCCAATACCAAATGAGAAACACCTGCGATTGGAAAACAGCCTGAAGTTAGTGACAGGGAGGAGAGGGTGACATGATAACATCATGGTCAAAAAAACACATAAAAATACATGAAGAGATAGTGTATTTCAGTTATTTCCTTGAGCAAAGGCATACCAGTGACCATTTATGGAGTGTATTCGATATTTGAGACCAAATGCCTTCAACGAATAATGTGACCTCATCATCTCAGGACAACTAAGAGGAAGGCCCATGTTTCCTTTTGTGTGAGAAACGGAAGCCCCAAGGGTGTTAGAACTCTGTCCATGGTCGCACACCGACTAACAGGTAACGATGGAATCTGAGAACGGCCCTGCTTGACTCCATGAGCCCCTGGCAAAACACTACATACGATACTGATTCTAGGAGCAGAGAAAACAAAATAATAGGACCACATCCTCATCAATTGTATCCATAATCAATCCAAAAAAAGGGTTCATTAGAAAGTGAGATTTAGGAAAAAACAGACACCCCCGTCAGTGTGAGGCTAACATTGTTCTGGAACCGTATCTGTCCTGGCAAGGCTAGTCTAAGGATGGGAAACAGTGCCTCCTGCTCTTCTTCTTTTTTAAAAAAAATTAGATTTTTATTGATTTGATTTTACTATTTTTTATTGTTGTTAATCCTCACCAAAGGACACTTTTCCACTAATTTTTTTTTAAGAAAGAAAGTGGACGGCAGAGGGAGAGAGAGGGAAACATCAATGTGAGCGACACACTGATTGGTTGCCTCCCGCATGCTCCCTGACCAGGGCCAGGGTTTGAGCTGCCACCGAGGTCCATGCCCTTGAGCAGAATTTTTAAAAAAATTAGATTTTTATTGATTTGATTTTACTATATTTTGTTGTTGTTAATCCTCACCAAAGGACACTTTTCCACTAATTTTTTTAAGAAAGAAGGTGGACGGCAGAGGAGAGAGAGAGAAACATCAATGTGAGCGACACACTGATTGGTTGCCTCCCACACGCGCCCTGACCAGGGCCAGGGATTGAGCTGCCACCGAGGTACGTGCCCTTGAGCAGAATCGAACCCGGGAGCCTTCAGTCCACAGGCCGGTGCTCTATCCATTGAGCTAAACTGGCTAGGGCCCTCCTCCTCTTCTAACTGGAGAGTTCTCTCTTTGCCTTAGTCCACAAGCACCAAATAGCCTTCTAATCACACTGTGACTTAACCAAAAGAACTATCTAGAAACAGAGAATGTGTGGGTAATACTAATACAAGCAGTTTTAGATGGCGTGACAAGGATAGTTCTCCTAGTAAATTAATACCCTGTTCTTTTGGCTTATATATCAGTCTCTTATTGATTTTAAGAGAGAGAGGAAGGGAGAGAGAGAGATAGAAACATCGATGAGAGAGAAACATCATTGATCGGTTGCCTACTGCATGCCCCTCATCGTGGATCAGGCCCACAACCAGGGCATGTGCCCTGACTGGGAATCGATCTGGTAGCCTCTTAGCTCATGGGTACAAGCTGGGCTGTCTGAGTCTCTGTAGTGTGAATCATCATCCCCATATCTAGGGACATCAGCCACGGGATTAATGTTCTAACCTTGTAAGGCTAGAACCAGACTTCTGATTATTGTGACTTCACTGTGACCATGCTCCCTAGAGATCACAGCCTACCAGCATATGGATATGATGACATTTAAATTTCCAAGGACCTTTTGACCTATAGCCTAGGTTCTTTATGCTTACAAAGCACTTTGATGCATACCTATACTTAAGTGTCTTTAACGTGTAAAATGAAAGCTAAATAGTATTGATCAATGGCTAACTATATGCCTAGAACTTATGTAACTGCCTCTTGTGGATGGTAATAATGGCGATACTTGATCTATCACTTCCTTTGTGTCTAGCACGGTGCCTAATGCTTTCTTTCAGCATAAC